GTGACAGGGTCCCGGCACACAATGACAAGTGAGGATGCCGCGCTACACTATAATGAAAATTATAATCAAGTTGACTAGCGTGTACATTACTACAGTGAACATGTACATGATCATGCCCTCATAATCAAATGTCGTAATATCAAATACTAATATATTATTATGTGATGAATTTGACTGGATCAGTGGTAACATGTGATATTAATATTCCATCAATTTCTTTCCTGGTTGGTCTATCCATGTCTACAAAATGAAAATAATGCAATTAAAAAGGAGCACAGAACAATTCTTAATTTCAGACTAGAGCTGTGGAAATCTAGACTTTCCAAATCATTATAGACTTGAGTTGGTCTCATTTTTTACATTATTCTCTTGGGTCTACGTCACAGCTCATGCCACACAATAACAAGACCAGTTAGTCCCCCGGCGGAGCGCCTGGATTTTGGTTATATCATCTAACATGGTCAACTCTGCTCTTAAGTAAACAAGAACCTAATTAGCGAGTGGTCCTTTATGATCATACTGGGTCTTTGTCCTTTGCTTGAACAATAATGTAACTTAACTTCTTTTATTGAGTCGTTTATTTGTAGATTATTTCGTATACAGATAATTCATCTAACATGGTAATTATAATCATAACTATTTTTCAATAATAATGGTATGCACAGTTCTTTATGTTGTTCTGTACACGGATTCCCCAGAGGCTATATTGCATCATATAGAATACTCATGGATGTGTATGCCACTGTACCAAATTAATTATGATCATATTCTATATTATTATCCCATTCAGACCCTACATTTTAACAAGAACACACAGAGATATAGTTCAGAAACACTAGACTGAAATTAATCCAATATGATTCCAAAATTATTAGATATATTTATGATTACTTCATTGTGTAATAAGAAAACAATTGTCAAATAAATGGATTTTCATGTGAATAAAATCCAGAGGCCAAATATCGGAACGAATGACAGACCCTGTCATTAAACACGATTGTTAAGGATACTGGGCGTTCAATAATTCCGCTAAACCACCATTTCACAATGTGAAAATACGGGACATAATCGGCGATATTTACTTCATCAAATGAAGATCGTATTATGTATACGATTTCGTGTTAACAGTGAGCTGACACGAAACATTAACGCACGTATCACTGTCGAAAATTTAGTGTGTGTCATTGTTTACATTTCACTGATTTGAAGAACACTTTCGAGTCTCGAAACAGCTTAAATAATGTTTTCCTTCACTAAAAGTAACAACGGACGTTATTCTCGTGACATATACATTGCAAGAGCATTCATGAAAATGCTAAGAAAAAATATTTAACAACCCGTTCTAGGGTTTTTCTATAGTATATACATGGCGTGTCAGCCATGTTTGTTCGTCTAGTGGAGGCGGCCATTGTGCAGTCATTGCCTCGGTCACTGTAGCGCCAGCGCCGCATACCAGGGGAACCAGGCTGCTTCAATTACCCAATTGATTTGATTAGAATATACTTGCGTCAGTTTTTTTTTATTAACCCCCCAAACCGTAATTTAAACACATTTAATAACAGATCATATACACGCATGGTGCCTTCACTTACTACTAGCTTTAATAGGCCATCCCGGAATAAAATAGTTCCCCAAAAGCGAGGAACATCCCTTTTAGTCTGTTTATAAGAAATGTATTCCAAACAATATCCTCAGTAGATGAGAAGATCTGTTAAAGAATTGCCTCAGTAAGTCAATCACAATGACAGAGCGTCGTAATACATTAACATCAAGTACAATATGTCAAAATGGCCGACACGATAAACGTGACGGGAGATATTTCCGAAGTTGTTAATAAACCTGTGGTTATTTCAAGCTTTTGTCATCACTGATCAATTGGCCAATCATTGAAAGGTGATTGTAAAGATGTGTCAAATAGATACTAAGGTAAACACATAGATTGCTGTAGATTGTCACTACGATAGTTTCGATGTTTTGGTTTTTTTCGTTTTTATTTCTCTAGGATGGGTTGTAGCGAGGTATCCTTAAGCGGGCTATGCAACTCTCTGACTTATCCCAGACTAAGCTAAGACGCTAAGTTCAAAATTAAAGGGTCTAAATGACGAGAAACAACGCTTCTGTTTGAATTCGTACATGTACCAGGGAATTCTCAGGGTTTTCCCCAGGAATGTGGAAGTGGTCAGTGTTTATGTCATTTCAGGAATACAGTCACGTGAAAAACGTCATGTGACCGACCTCTCCTCCAATGGAAAAGCCGTATATCTTGTAAACTTCAACTAAAAAAATAGTTACTGTTATAACCAAATGAAACACAACCCATATCCGAAAGAGGTAACTGTGCATAGCGGAGGGATATGTTATCACAATAAACTTGGTAACATGGTTTGATTTGACGTCTTGGCGCGTGTCTGAATTCCTTTAACATGTTGCATATCCTAAAACTAGCTTATCAGCTAATCTCGCTGCACTACGCGCGACAGATACTAGAGCAAGGCATGCCAGAAATACGAAACCTTATGCTTACCGAAAGGATGCCTTAGGCATCACGTGCGTCGGGGGACCAGCGCCATCTCATTGGCTGTTAACAGTTGTACAAGGCGGGGCACAAAGCATCGTTTTTCCGTCCATTTTACGCTTGAAAAACTCGACCCTTTTCCGGACACTTTCTAGACGCTCGCCAATTAATCAATTTTAATGAATTTTTAGTCGTTTTTCCGTCCTATGACCATATACGGAAAAAACGACGTTTTCGTGTTTGCAGTGTAAAATATGTTTCGGCATAATTGTCAAAAAGTGTGTGGTTTGCGTCGGTCGTATTCTTCGCAAATACCACCTGATACATGCCTGAATACACAATTGTATTCTATGATCTATGCGTATATTGACACAAGAAACCGGTGGTACCAGATACATAAAAATAAATCTCACATGTAATACAATAGATAATATAAACTTGAAGGAATTGTGAAATTATGGGTAAAATGCCTGGTATGGTCCCAGTAACCTATGGATGTTACAAGAGGCAACTTAATGGATCGGGTGGTCAGGCTTGGTGATATTGTTGATTCTGTTACACTGTTCCCTGACAAACTGAGGCGTTACTCGAAGTGCAATTTACTTGTTTTACTGGTTTAGACTTAATTATTTTAGGCCGCTGTGATATAGCTGGAATGTTGCTTACTGAAGCCTTAAACAACGCAACGTTCTGAAATATGTTTCGACATTGTCAAAAAAGGTGTAGTTAGCATCTTTTGTTTGTTTGTTTGTTGTTTTACGCCGCACTCAGCAACATTCCAGCTATATGACGGCGGTCTGCAAATAATCGAGTCTGCACCAGACAATCCAGTGATTGACAAAATGAGCATCGATCCACCCAAATGGAATCGATGATATGAATCAGCTAAGTCAGCAAGCCTGACCACCCGATCCCGTTAGCTGCCTTTTACGACAAGCATAGTCGCCTTTTAAGGCAAGCATGGATTGCTGAAGACCTATTCTACCTCGGATCTTCACGGGTCTTGCATCTATCTGATTCTCAGCGGATACCAAATGAAACTTACCCGAAATGCTTCCGGAAAGGTAAGTATCCGGTGATATTCGACACGAATCTGACGGACATAAACCACGCATAGGCCTTTCGGCATTGTGAAATGGCTATTGAGTGTGAATGTCATGATTAAGCTCTTACTTCAAACACAAACTGTGTTCATAATTCCTAGTTTGAAAAAGTATTTAATGGGGGTAAAGCAATATTCCATTACATTAACATGTTTGGTCTAAACTGCCTCTTCATTTATCTATTTAAGGGGGTAGCCGTACTGTTCGCATGGGTGGAACATATCAATGCCATTTCTTCAGTCCCCTGCCTTGACATTGATGATTTACATCATGAAAGAACCGCAGAGTTAACATAATCGGGTAAAGATGGAAATACGTAAAACATAGTACATGGTAATATTTCCTGTTGTTTTTAATAAAACATCACATAAAAAGGTCACTCATAGTAAAATGTCAGTGAAATTGGTCGAACAATCCCGACTTTTGTTTCAGCGTAAATTCGAAATGTCAGGCCGAATACAGGTTCATATAATTACTGTTCATTGTCTCTTTCCATCCACCTTGGATATATCTACACTAATGCATTGTGTGTAACAATTAGAGGGATAGACCTGGAGGGAGGAAACGATGTGTTTCCAACGTAGTTAAGGTTACCTCAGGTATGCATACTTCTATGAATGTCATTATCACCTACTACAGGACAATAATTTGAATTCTTTAGCAGTAATTACACTAGCGTGTTTCCTAAAACAAGCCATAATCACTAAATAGAGGAACATAACAAGCATTCGACCCCAAAATGGGTCGGTTAGTAGTAGAATGTTTATCATAATTTTTTTCGATTTCCCAAACACAGCAACCAATCAGTGAATGTCAGCAACACTACTATATAAAAACCGCCTTAAAATACTTAGCCTGGAACAGACAAAACTGTGGTTCATACAAATACGAGCAACGATTCACGCCATCATGGAACGATGACAACAAACAGCAAGTAACACATTCTTACCACCTGATCCTGACTTAAGTCAGCTCTAACAATAAACATTGGGTGCTGGGGACCTATTCTGCCCAAGAATTCAAACAGTAATTCAGGCACTGTTAACATTACACATTAATACAAATAACAGAATGAAAAGACTTGTTTCCGGTTTTTTTCAAAAAACGCTCCAGTAACGTTCCAGGTAGCGTTTCATTTTGGATCTGAAAAAGTGTGCGAGATGGATACCTTGCGGATACCCTCTAAAAATGTCAAACATTTAGTTAGACATTTCATTAAATTGAGACATTTAAAACACCTAAAAAATTGCAAGAAATTTGAAAGTTGCGGAAGATATCTAGAATGAAGTAGTATCCGAGAAGTTTACGGAAAATAGAAACGTGACGTTGTGGATGTTTTAAAGCATGTCACAAGTGTCACAGACTGTAACCACAATACTTACTAGCTGGCGATACCCCCAGACTTGGAATGTCTGAAAGGTCCGGAAAAACAACGTATTAGTCATGCAGCTGTGGTATATTTTCAAATGGCAAGAATAATATAAGTAACAAATATTTTTTAACATATCTACAATTGTTTCAAAACCTTGTAAATATAGATATGACATATAATCAATATGTACATATGTCAATATAAATGTGACATATGTACACTACCGCAGCTGTTATGTGTTAATGCACCTCATGGCTATTTCTATAAATGTAAAACATTGGATGTGTGGCTGAATGTGTATTAAAACATTTACCTGAGATGTACGTGATTTACAGAGCCTTAACATTAATACATTGTCGTTTCGAGCTCACTTGGCAATATGGCGACAAACAACCCCTTTGCATCCGTTTCCTTTAAGATTTACCTTAACAATATAAAACCCCGACAAGGAAAATTCGTTTCAGGATAATCCATCGGAGAAGATTATTTGATGTATCCTTTGTGTTGTACAGCTGAAGGCAACAATACGAAATCAGTGTCATCGATCGACGTATTAATGCAACGCAAGCCAGGCCTATCTGTTATCAGCCAATCAGGGAAAAGTTGCCCCAAAGCAAGATAATACCTTGGTTGGCCAATAAAATGCCATGGAATCGCTTGCATTGTTTAATTATCAACACTGGAATGAATATAATTAATGTTAGCGAATATCTATTGCGTGAAATTCAATTTTATCAATACGGTGATAGATATATACGATACAATTTAATTGAAGATAATCAGAGAATTTAAATTAATATAGAAGTGACTTTATGATAATTGTGCAGATTAAAGACGGATTCAGCAATGTAGCATTGCAACCAAGTTGTAGATAATACACAGTGACTTTTCGTTAATTATCGATTTTAAAGTTATAAGTTACAGTGAATAATTGCTCAGGTGTGATACTATAACTTGCGAATTAGTATTACAAGGTGAACAAGCAAGCTGTTACTAGATACAAAGTAGATATTGTATTGTCTTTTCATTTCTATCATACTGAAGAGAAACCGCTATGGGACAGATTGTTCTTTCCAAATGTTTTCCTCATTCAATATTCATTTAAAGTTTAGTTTACGAGAAATGTTCAGATTTTATACATACTCCCCGAGGTCGGTTTATAATGTACATCACCCCTATAAAAAAGTTAATTAACTGCGATTAGAAAGGACCTAATACGCCCCCATCGTGATATTTCTGGGATATTGCTAAAAGTGGTGTAAAACCCAACTCAGTCTGTCAGTCAGTCACCATGTATCCTGTGACATTGTGCTACTCCATCCCCGCATAGGTACAATACATGAAGCCCATTTCTGCTGTCCCTCGGCTGAATGTATTACTAAAGCGGATTAAATCCCTACTCAGACAGTCAGTTTCAATGTATCCTGTGTCAGGCTCGGTGATTTGGTTGATTGTGTATCACTGTTCCCCAACACCCTAGGGCGTTGCTCGAAGTGCAAGTTACTGGTTTATCTGGTTCAGACCTATTAGTTTTTAGGCCGTAAAGTGTATCTTCCATTACAAGAACATGTTTGGTATAAACTGAGTCTTCATTTATCTATTCAAGATCCGGTGGCATGGCCAAGTGTTCGCTGGTCACGTCGAAGGATTAATTCCCCACTTGAGTACATTATATCAACCTCGTTTATGATGTCCCCTAGTGTGACATTTCTAATATATTGCTTAAAGCGGAGTTAAACCCTACTCAGTCAATCAGTCTCCATTTACCCTGTGACACTCTGCCATTCCATACTAACGAAATTCATCAATCATCTTTGCGACTGGAAGAAAAGAAGTATCTACTGTTAATAAACACGCCATCGATTGATCTATGCGTACATACGAAGATGCATTGAATCAGTGTACCCGATACACAAAAGCTCAGTGTCAGGCGGTATCAATGACGAATCCGCGGACAGAAACCACCCCTTTTGGTGCTGTGACACCATGTGTCCTGTGACACTGTGCCGCTCCATCCCCACATTGGTACAATATATGAAGCCAATTTCTGCTGTCCAATTTCTGTACTGTGCCATTCCATACTTACGAGGTTCACTCGCCCAACGTCCTGCTCCTGTAAGAAAAGAAGTATCAACTGTTAATAACGACACAATGGATTGATCTATGCGTTTATGGATGCATGGAATTAGTGTACCAGATACACAAAAGCTTACATTTAAACCAATACATAAAATGGACTTTGGTAAGTGTTAAACTTTCTGTAGGGATCTCATGTTTAAAGTGAGTGGTTTTCACCTATGGTTGTTATAAGATGCAACTCAGTGGATCGGGAGGTCAGTCTTGGTGATTTGGTTGACTGCATGTCACTGTACCCCGACAACCTAGAACGTTGCTCGAAATGCCAGTTGCTGCTTTGTCTGGTCGACACTCAATTAGTTGTGGACCACTGTGATATGGCTTGAGTATTGCCGACTGCAGCGTTACAAAGATTACAAATTGTCTTAAACTTTACATTGGCAAGGTTCTAAAATATGTTTCGGCATAATTGTCAAAAAGTGTGTGGTTTGCGTCGGTCGTATTCTTCGCAAATACCACCTGATACATGCCTGAATACACAATTGTATTCTATGATCTATGCGTATATTGACACAAGAAACCGGTGGTACCAGATACATAAAAATAAATCTCACATGTAATACAATAGATAATATAAACTTGAAGGAATTGTGAAATTATGGGTAAAATGCCTGGTATGGTCCCAGTAACCTATGGATGTTACAAGAGGCAACTTAATGGATCGGGTGGTCAGGCTTGGTGATATTGTTGATTCTGTTACACTGTTCCCTGACAAACTGAGGCGTTACTCGAAGTGCAATTTACTTGTTTTACTGGTTTAGGCTTAATTATTTTAGGCCGCTGTGATATAGTTGGAATGTTGCTTACTGAAGCCTTAAACAACGCAACGTTCTGAAATATGTTTCGACATTGTCAAAAAAGGTGTAGTTAGCATCTTTTGTTTGTTTGTTTGTTGTTTTACGCCGCACTCAGCAACATTCCAGCTATATGACGGCGGTCTGCAAATAATCGAGTCTGCACCAGACAATCCAGTGATTGACAAAATGAGCATCGATCCACCCAAATGGAATCGATGATATGAATCAGCCAAGTCAGCAAGCCTGACCACCCGATCCCGTTAGCTGCCTTTTACGACAAGCATAGTCGCCTTTTAAGGCAAGCATGGATTGCTGAAGACCTATTCTACCTCGGATCTTCACGGGTCTTGCATCTATCTGATTCTCAGCGGATACCAAATGAAACTTACCCGAAATGCTTCCGGAAAGGTAAGTATCCGGTGATATTCGACACGAATCTGACGGACATAAACCACGCATAGGCCTTTCGGCATTGTGAAATGGCTATTGAGTGTGAATGTCATGATTAAGCTCTTACTTCAAACACAAACTGTGTTCATAATTCCTAGTTTGAAAAAGTATTTAATGGGGGTAAAGCAATATTCCATTACATTAACATGTTTGGTCTAAACTGCCTCTTCATTTATCTATTTAAGGGGGTAGCCGTACTGTTCGCATGGGTGGAACATATCAATGCCATTTCTTCAGTCCCCTGCCTTGACATTGATGATTTACATCATGAAAGAACCGCAGAGTTAACATAATCGGGTAAAGATGGAAATACGTAAAACATAGTACATGGTAATATTTCCTGTTGTTTTTAATAAAACATCACATAAAAAGGTCACTCATAGTAAAATGTCAGTGAAATTGGTCGAACAATCCCGACTTTTGTTTCAGCGTAAATTCGAAATGTCAGGCCGAATACAGGTTCATATAATTACTGTTCATTGTCTCTTTCCATCCACCTTGGATATATCTACACTAATGCATTGTGTGTAACAATTAGAGGGATAGACCTGGAGGGAGGAAACGATGTGTTTCCAACGTAGTTAAGGTTACCTCAGGTATGCATACTTCTATGAATGTCATTATCACCTACTACAGGACAATAATTTGAATTCTTTAGCAGTAATTACACTAGCGTGTTTCCTAAAACAAGCCATAATCACTAAATAGAGGAACATAACAAGCATTCGACCCCAAAATGGGTCGGTTAGTAGTAGAATGTTTATCATAATTTTTTTCGATTTCCCAAACACAGCAACCAATCAGTGAATGTCAGCAACACTACTATATAAAAACCGCCTTAAAATACTTAGCCTGGAACAGACAAAACTGTGGTTCATACAAATACGAGCAACGATTCACGCCATCATGGAACGATGACAACAAACAGCAAGTAACACATTCTTACCACCTGATCCTGACTTAAGTCAGCTCTAACAATAAACATTGGGTGCTGGGGACCTATTCTGCCCAAGAATTCAAACAGTAATTCAGGCACTGTTAACATTACACATTAATACAAATAACAGAATGAAAAGACTTGTTTCCGGTTTTTTTCAAAAAACGCTCCAGTAACGTTCCAGGTAGCGTTTCATTTTGGATCTGAAAAAGTGTGCGAGATGGATACCTTGCGGATACCCTCTAAAAATGTCAAACATTTAGTTAGACATTTCATTAAATTGAGACATTTAAAACACCTAAAAAATTGCAAGAAATTTGAAAGTTGCGGAAGATATCTAGAATGAAGTAGTATCCGAGAAGTTTACGGAAAATAGAAACGTGACGTTGTGGATGTTTTAAAGCATGTCACAAGTGTCACAGACTGTAACCACAATACTTACTAGCTGGCGATACCCCCAGACTTGGAATGTCTGAAAGGTCCGGAAAAACAACGTATTAGTCATGCAGCTGTGGTATATTTTCAAATGGCAAGAATAATATAAGTAACAAATATTTTTTAACATATCTACAATTGTTTCAAAACCTTGTAAATATAGATATGACATATAATCAATATGTACATATGTCAATATAAATGTGACATATGTACACTACCGCAGCTGTTATGTGTTAATGCACCTCATGGCTATTTCTATAAATGTAAAACATTGGATGTGTGGCTGAATGTGTATTAAAACATTTACCTGAGATGTACGTGATTTACAGAGCCTTAACATTAATACATTGTCGTTTCGAGCTCACTTGGCAATATGGCGACAAACAACCCCTTTGCATCCGTTTCCTTTAAGATTTACCTTAACAATATAAAACCCCGACAAGGAAAATTCGTTTCAGGATAATCCATCGGAGAAGATTATTTGATGTATCCTTTGTGTTGTACAGCTGAAGGCAACAATACGAAATCAGTGTCATCGATCGACGTATTAATGCAACGCAAGCCAGGCCTATCTGTTATCAGCCAATCAGGGAAAAGTTGCCCCAAAGCAAGATAATACCTTGGTTGGCCAATAAAATGCCATGGAATCGCTTGCATTGTTTAATTATCAACACTGGAATGAATATAATTAATGTTAGCGAATATCTATTGCGTGAAATTCAATTTTATCAATACGGTGATAGATATATACGATACAATTTAATTGAAGATAATCAGAGAATTTAAATTAATATAGAAGTGACTTTATGATAATTGTGCAGATTAAAGACGGATTCAGCAATGTAGCATTGCAACCAAGTTGTAGATAATACACAGTGACTTTTCGTTAATTATCGATTTTAAAGTTATAAGTTACAGTGAATAATTGCTCAGGTGTGATACTATAACTTGCGAATTAGTATTACAAGGTGAACAAGCAAGCTGTTACTAGATACAAAGTAGATATTGTATTGTCTTTTCATTTCTATCATACTGAAGAGAAACCGCTATGGGACAGATTGTTCTTTCCAAATGTTTTCCTCATTCAATATTCATTTAAAGTTTAGTTTACGAGAAATGTTCAGATTTTATACATACTCCCCGAGGTCGGTTTATAATGTACATCACCCCTATAAAAAAGTTAATTAACTGCGATTAGAAAGGACCTAATACGCCCCCATCGTGATATTTCTGGGATATTGCTAAAAGTGGTGTAAAACCCAACTCAGTCTGTCAGTCAGTCACCATGTATCCTGTGACATTGTGCTACTCCATCCCCGCATAGGTACAATACATGAAGCCCATTTCTGCTGTCCCTCGGCTGAATGTATTACTAAAGCAGATTAAATCCCTACTCAGACAGTCAGTTTCAATGTATCCTGTGTCAGGCTCGGTGATTTGGTTGATTGTGTATCACTGTTCCCCAACACCCTAGGGCGTTGCTCGAAGTGCAAGTTACTGGTTTATCTGGTTCAGACCTATTAGTTTTTAGGCCGTAAAGTGTATCTTCCATTACAAGAACATGTTTGGTATAAACTGAGTCTTCATTTATCTATTCAAGATCCGGTGGCATGGCCAAGTGTTCGCTGGTCACGTCGAAGGATTAATTCCCCACTTGAGTACATTATATCAACCTCGTTTATGATGTCCCCTAGTGTGACATTTCTAATATATTGCTTAAAGCGGAGTTAAACCCTACTCAGTCAATCAGTCTCCATTTACCCTGTGACACTCTGCCATTCCATACTAACGAAATTCATCAATCATCTTTGCGACTGGAAGAAAAGAAGTATCTACTGTTAATAAACACGCCATCGATTGATCTATGCGTACATACGAAGATGCATTGAATCAGTGTACCCGATACACAAAAGCTCAGTGTCAGGCGGTATCAATGACGAATCCGCGGACAGAAACCACCCCTTTTGGTGCTGTGACACCATGTGTCCTGTGACACTGTGCCGCTCCATCCCCACATTGGTACAATATATAAAGCCAATTTCTGCTGTCCCTTGGCTTGATTTTTCCGGGATATTGCTAAGCAGATTTAAACCCTACACAGTCACACAGTCAGTCTCCATGTAGCCTGTAATACTGTGCCATTCCATACTTACGAGGTTCACTCGCCCAACGTCTTTCTCCTGTAAGAAAAGACTGTTAATGATGACACAATCGATTGATCTATGCGTTTATGGATGCATGGAATTAGTGTACCAGATACACAAAAGCTCACATTTAAACCAATAGATAACATGGACTTTGGTAAGTGTTAAACTGACTGTAGGGATCTCATGTTTAACGTGAGTGGTCCCCAGTAACCTATGGTTGTTATAAGAGGCAACTCAGTGGATCGGGAGGTCAGTCTTGGTGATTCGGTTGATTGCATGTCACTGTACCCCGACAACCTAGAACGTTGCTCGAAATGCCAGTTGCTGCTTTGTCTGGTCCACACTCAGTTAGTTGTGGATCGCTGTGATATGGCTTGAGTATTGCCGACTGCAGCGTTATAAAGATTATAAATTGTCTTAAACTTTACATTGGCAAGGTTCTAAAATATGTTTCGACATAATTGTCAAAAAGTGTGTGGTTTGCGTCGGTCGTATTCTTTGCAGATACCACCTGCTACATACCTGAATACACAGATTCGATTGATCTATGCATATATTGACACAAGAAACCGGTGGTAACAGATACATAAATCTCACATGTAATACAATAGATAATATAAACTTGAGGGAATTGTTAAAGTATTGGTAAAATGCCTGGTATAGTCCCAGTAACCTATGGATGTTACAAGAGGCAACTTAATGGATCGGGTGGTCAGGCATGGTGATATTGTTGATTGCGTTTCACTGTTCCCCCACAAACTGGGACGTTACTCGAAGTGCAATTTACTGGTTTTACTGGTTTAGACTTACTTATTTTAGGCCGCTGTGATATAGCTGGAATATTGCTGACTGAAGCCTTAAACAACAACACAAATTGTCTTACGCTTTTGGATTTGCAACGTTCTAAAATATGTTTCGAGATTGTCAAAAACGTGTAATTTGCATCTATGTGATTCTTGGCGGATACCACCTAAAATTTATCCAAAATTCATCCTGGTATCCGGAAAGGTAAGTATCCGGTGATATTCGACACGAATCTGACGGACATAAACCACGCATAGGCCTTTCGGCACTGTGATATGGCTACTAAATGTGAATATCATGATTAAGCTCTCACTTGAAACACAAACTGTGTACATGATTCCCTGTTTGAAAAAGTATTTAATCATGACACTGTGCCATTCTATACTTACGTTTTTTTTCCTTTATCTTTCCTGCAAATGAAGAAAAGAATGATTTACTATTAATAAACACACAATTGATTGATCTATAGCAATTAATAGATATATGCGTAAATAGATACATGGAACCAGTGTATCCGACATTCAAATGCTCACATATAATACAATAGACAATTTGAACACAGATAAGTGTTAAACTGTCGGTAGGGCTCCAAAGTTCGACTTGGTCCCAGGTGACTTATGAGTGTTATAACATGCAACTGAATGGATCGGGTGGTCAGTCTCGGTGATTTGGTTGATTGTGTGTCATTGTATCCCGACAACCTAGGACGTTCCCCGAAATGCCAGTTGCTGCATTGTTTGGTCCACACTCAATTATTTTTCGGCCACATATGGCTGGAATATTGCTAAAAGCGCAGTTAAACCCTAATCAGTCAGTCAGTCAATCTCCATGTATCCTGTGACACTGTGCCATTCTATACTTATGTGATGCTTCCATTTGCTTTTCTGCGAAATAAGAAAAGAATGATATACTGTTTATAAACACACAGTCGATTGATCTATCACAATTAATAGCTATATGCTTAAATAGATACATGGAACCAGTGTATCCGATATACAAATGCTCAAATTTAATACAATAGATAATTTGAACATTGATAAGTGTTGGTCTAAACTGACTCTTCATGTATCTATTCAAGGCCCGTTTGGGAAGCCAAGTTGTTGTAGCGATCGCTGGTCACGTCGAAGGTTAATTCCCCACATGGGTATTAAATATGAAGCCGATTAGAGGCAACTCAGTGGATCGGGAGGTCAGTCTTGGTGATTTGGTTGATTGCATGTCACTGTACCCCGACAACCTAGAACGTTGCTCGAAATGCCAGTTGCTGCTTTGCCTGGTCCACACTCAGTTAGTTGTGGATCGCTGTGATATGGCTTGAGTATTGCCGACTGCAGCGTTACAAATATTTACAAATTGTCTTAAACTTTACATTGGCAAGGTTCTAAAATATGTTTCGACATAATTGTCAAAATGTGTGGTTTGCGTCGGTCGTATTCTTTGCAGATACCACCTGCTACATACCTGAATACACAGATTCGATTGATCTATGCATATATTGACACAAGAAACCGGTGGTATCAGATACATAAATCTCACATGTAATACAATAGATAATATAAACTTGAGGGAATTGTGAAAGTATTGGTAAAATGCCTGGTATGGTCCCAGTAACCTATGGATGTTACAAGAGGCAACTTAATGGATCGGGTGGTCAGGCTTGGTGATATTGTTGATTGCGTTTCACTGTTCCCCCACAAACTGGGACGTTAATCGAAGTGCAATTTACTGGTTTTACTGGTTCAGACTTAATTATTTTAGGCCGCTGTGATATAGCGGAATAGGAATATTGCTGACTGAAGCCTTAAACAACGATACAAATTGTCTTACGCTTTTGGATTTGCAACGTTCTAAAATATGTTTCGAGATTGTCAAAAACGTGTAATTTTCATCTATGTGATTCTTGGCGGATACCACCTAAAATTTATCCAAAATTCATCCTGGTATCCGGAAAGGTAAGTATCCGGTGATATTCGACACGAATCTGTCGGACATAAACCACGCATAGGCCTTTTGGCACTGTGATATGACTATTGCAAGTGAATATCATAATTATGCTCTTACTTGAAACACAAACTGTGTACATGATTCCCTGTTTGAAAAAGTATTTAATCATGGGAGTAAAGCGATATTCCATTAAATTAACATGGTTGGTCTAAGCTGCCTCTTTATTTATCTACTCAAGGGGCGATGTATGAATCCCATTTATGCTGTCCCCTGCCTTGACATTAATGGATTACATAATGAAAGAAACCACAGAGTTTCCATAATCGGGCAAAGACGGATATACGTAAAATATAGCACATGGTAATATTTCCTCATATTTTCAGTAATAATGCGTCACATAAAAACGTTATTCATAGTAACATGTCAGTGAAATTGCGGAACAGTCCCGCCTTTGTTTCAGTGTAAATACGAAATGTCATGCCGAATACCGGTTCACCTAATTACTGTTCCTTTTCTCTTTCCATTCACCTTCGATATATGTACACTAATGCATTGTGTGTAACAAGTACAGTGATTGAACTGGTGAGAGGCCGATGTCTAAGTCTTTGCTGAAAATGTTTGTAAAAATTCCCAAATTAGCCACCTTAAAATATCTAGCCTGGCACACATACAAATGTGGTTGATACAAATACAAGCAGCGATTCACGCCACCATGGAACGATGACAACAATCAGCAAAGTAACACATTCTTAACACCCGATCCTGACTAAAGTCAGCTCTCACAATACACATTGGGTGCTGAGGACCTATTTTGCCCAAGAATGCACACATTAATTCAGGCACTGTTAACATCACACGAGATATCTACATCACAGTTGCAGACATACAGACATACAAAGAGGCCGTCAGACGACAGACAGAGAGACAGATAAAAAATATGTTTAGGCTTTTCAGAGAAAGAATGATCTCTCTGTGAATGAAAAATATCGAAAACATTATCTGTCTTAAAAGAAATATCCTAGGTTTCTCAGAACATATGGTCGAATCATCGTTGTTCACTCAAAGGCCTCGTTAACCCATGTTTTAAAGGGAGTCGAACCATTCTCTTCAATTCAATTTTATAAGATTCGGGTCCTTGAGGATCATAAAACACACAGCCATTGACATGTCCCACTGCAATCTCTGTAATGCAACCTTCATTGTCCGCGTCTTTGGATAATGCTATCTTCATCACACAAATGTCTTGAAGTGAAACCTTGGAATGTTTGTTTTTCGGAACACGCAAGTTCTTCTTCATTCCATGCATCAGATGGTCCTTTCTAATTTTAACCAAAACCACGACAGCGAACATAGTTCCGCCACTTTTTTAACATTCTCTCCTTAAGTGCTGAGGAGGCAGTTGGCACGAGAATGGGTCTGGCATAACACAACCTCAAAGCTTCCACATTTTGCTTCCTGGGAGAAATACCCATCAAAGCAGCGTCTCTGCTCTCTGTCGTGCGCGAAGAAAACAGGAATTGTCTTATTCTTTCGTTTGAGCCATTTTCGAATTTGTCAATACAAAAAGACTGGTACTTCTTGTTCAAATCACAGTCCACTCTTAACACATCTTTGTAATTTCTGATTTGTTGTGATTTAAACACTTCTCATGTAACCAAATCATAGGCGAGGATTGAGCCAAATATTTCGTAAAAAACGTATGAGGATAGTCCCCGGAATCAGGTGTTTTGAACTGATGAACAATAAGAACATCATGATACATTCTAAAAGCAGACAGTATCTTAGTGAACTGAAACAGCGATGCTTCGCGCATCATGGAATTTTCTCACGTGTGGCACTGTCTTCATCAGCTGATTAACGTCAACAAATACAACTTCAATCCTTACAAAATTCAGAAGGGTTTCCAGTGGGGTATGTTAATGATGTGTTCACGCGTTTTGGATGTGTTAATTTCATAAAATATCAAACAAAACCTTCCGAATACAATATATATCTCGCTCAATATGAAAATAGAAACCTAATTATACCAAACAAACAGATAAGTGGTGGCTCAAAAGTAATCCTATAATAACAGTTTATTAATTGATGACATTACAAAGATTCCGGACCTTTAAGAATGAATATCAGACAAAAAATCATTCGTTGTCAACCGACCCTGGGGGCACATGGTGTGTTTGAGCCTGTGTAACCCTCGCCTGACAGTTCGGGGTACATCACACCATATACTCCTTGAGATCGGTTGAGAACCTATGTACATTACCCCCATAAAATGCTAATTAACAGCGGTTAGAAAGGCCTACTTATTTTGATCACTTGACATTGGTGCTCCACGTACACTTTCAACCCAACTCATGGATAAAACAAACGAAATTAATAACAGACCAGTGCTTTACATCGTCGTATGTCAGTTTATTTAGAATCAATCACTTTGTCAAAAAGGTGTGGTTTGCGTCTCTCGTATTCTTGGCAGATACCACCTGATACATTCCCGAAATGCATACTGGTATTAGGAAGGGTAAGTATCCCATAGTCTCCGCCACGGATGCGGCGGAGAGAACCACTCCTTTTGGCACTGTGATATGGCTACTGAAGTCTTGACGGATACCACCTGATGCTAGCCTGAAATGTATCCTGGTATTCGGTGATATCCGCCACGAACCCAGCGGACAGAAACCACCCGTTTTGGTGCTTTGATGTGGCTACAGAAAGTGAAATTCAAAATTAAGCTTATAGTTAAAACACAATCCGTCCAAATAATTCTTTTTTTGTAAAGGCATGTTTAATGGGAGTAAAGTGTATGTTCCATTACAATGACACGTTTGTTCTAAACTGAGTCTTCATTTATCTATTCAAAAGCCGGTAGCGTGGCCAAGTGTTTGTACTGTTCGCTGGTCACGTTGAAGGTTCAATTCGCCATTTGAGTACATTATATCAACCCCGTTTCTGACGCCCCCCACCGCGATATTTCTGGGATGTTGCTAAAAGTGATGTAAAACCCTACTCAGTCAGTCAGTCAGTCACCATGTATCCTGTGACACTGTAGCACTCCATCCCCACATGGGTACAATATATGAAGCCCATTTCTGCTGTCCCTCGGCTTGATATTTCTGGGATATTGCTAAAGCGGATTAAAACCCTACTAAATCAGACAGTCAGTTTCCTTGTAGCCTGTGTCAGGCTTGGTGATTTCGTTAAATGCGTATATCTGTTCCCCGACAACCTATTACGTTGCTCTAAGTGCAAGTTACTGGTTTATCTGGTTCAGACCTAATGTTTGTTTAGGCCGCTGTGATATAGCTGCAATATTGCCCACTAAAGCCTTAAAAAACAGAACAATTTGTCTTACACTCTTACATTTGCAACTATGTTTCGAAATAATCTTCAAAAAGACCACAGACAGAAACCACCCCCATTGGTGCTGTCATATGGCTACTGAATGTGAATTTCAAGATTAAGCACCTGCTTGAAACGCAAGCGGTGTACATTATTCTGTTGAAGTACATTTACCACTTTCCGACAACTGGTAGTCTAGATCACATACTTAGTGTACCCCTCTGACAAGTGTTAATTGGCTAGGCTCCCACGGTGAATATATATCCAAACGGTGATAAGATGTCCCAAGCTATGAGCACAAAACGCTATATAGAAAGAGGTCAAATCTAACAAATGTGATACCACGAGATTCTGACGCGATATGCATCCTAGTATCCGGTGTTATCAGCCACGAATCTGGGTGACATAAACAATGCCTATGCCTTTCGGCACTATGATATATACATGGCTACTGAATGTGAATAGCATGATTTAACTCTTACTTGAAACATATACTGTGGACATGATTTTATGTTTGAAAAAGAACATCTATTTGGAGTAAAGTGTATGTTCCATTCAATAAAAAGTGGGGTCTAAACTGACTCTTCATTTATTTATTCAAGGCACCTTTGGGAAGCCCAGTGGTTGTAGCAATTGCTGAACACGTCGTAGGTTCAATTCCCCAGATGGGTACAATATATGAACCTCATTTCTGCTGTCCCCAGCTATGATATTTCTGAGATATTGCTGAAGTGGAACAAAATCATACTCAGCCAGTCTCCATGTATCCTGTGACGTTTTGTCATTCTATACTTACGTTCGATGCTTATGGCTGGAAGAAACAAATTATATTACAGTTAATAAACACAATTTCGATTGATCCATGGGTAAAATGACACATGACATGAATAAACATTGTCTCAAAAGAATTCCCAAGGTAATCAAGACGATGTCTACACTCAATTACTTTCAGGCCACTCTGATATGGCTTGAATTTTGTTGAGTAAAGCGTTAAAGAAAAAAACAAATTGATTTAAACGCTTGGATTTTCAACGTTCTAAAATATGATTCGACATAATTTTCAAAGAGCCTGTGGTTTGCGTCTGTCGCGTTTTTCGCGGATACCGCGTGATGCTTACACGATATGCATATTGGTATCCGGAACGGTAAGTATCCGGTGGCATCCGCCACGAGTCCGGCAGACAGAAGCGACACCTTGGCCTGTTGGTGCTGTCATATGGCTACTAAATGTGAATTTCATGACTTGAAACACAAACCGTGTACATGATTCTATGTTTGTAAAAGTATATTTATTAGGAATAAAGTGGATGTTCCATTTCATTAACACAGTTGGTCTAAACTGTCTCTTCATAAATCTAGTCGAGGGGCGACGTGGTAGCCCAGTGTTTGTAGCGTTTTCTTATCACGTGGGAGGTTAATATGAATACCACATATGAATTTCTACTATTTCTACTTCCCTCGGCTTGATATTGATGGAATATTGCTAAAAGCAGGTTAAAACCCTATTGATTCAGTCAGACTCCATGTACTATGTGCCACTGTGTCATTCAATACTTAACGTTCCTAGTAATAGAAAAAGAAACGAACTGTTTTACTGGTAATTAACACACAATTGATTGATCTATGCGTACATAGATACATGGAAACAGTGTACCAGATATACAACAGCTCACATTTAAAACAGTAGATAACATAAACTTGTGGTAAGTGTTAATTTATTGGTAGGGATCGCGGGCTCGAATTGGTCCACAGTAAACTATGAGAGTAATAAACGGCAACTCAATGGATCGGGTGGCGACTCACGGTAATTTGGTTGCTTGCATGTCACTTTATCCCGACAACCTAGATCGTTAATCGAAATACCAGTTACTGCTTTGTCTGGTCCAGTGACATAGCTTGAATATTGCTGAGTGAAGCGTTAAACAACAAAACACATCGCCTCTTCAGGGTTTGCCATGTTCTAAAATATGTTTCGACATAATTGTCAAAAAGGAGTCTGTTGTATTCTGTTGGCGTCTGTTGATATCAACTGATGCTAACCCGAAATGCATACTGGTATCCGGAAAGGTAAGTGTCTGGTGATATCCGCCACGAATCCGGCGGACAGAAACCACCCTTTTTGTTACTTTGAAATGTCATCTTAACGTGAATTTCAAGATTAAGCTCCGGAGTGAAGTCTATGTTCCCTTACATTTACACAGATGGTCTAACTGCGTCTACATGGAACCAGTGTATCCGATATACAAATGCTCAAATTAATACAATAGACAATTTGAATATAGATAAGTGTTGGTCTAAACTGACTCTTCATTTATCTATTCAAGCCAGTGGTTGTAGCGATCGCTGGTCACGTCGTAGGTTTCAAACCAAAAAGTTGTGGCGAGCGCCTGTGTCATCTAGGCGGATACCACCTGATATATACCCGAAATGCATACCGGTATCCGGAAGGGTAAGTATCCTATGGTATCTGCCATGAATCCGGCGGACAGACCGCCCCCAATTGGGCACTGTCATTTAACTGTGAGTGTGACTAAATTGTTAAACTGCCGGTAGGGATCCCAGGTTTAAAGTGGTCCCCAGTCACCCATGGTTGTTTTTAGATGCAACTCAGTGGATCTGGAGGTCAATCTTAGTGATTTGTTTGTTTGCATGTCACTGTAACCCAGACAACCCAGAACGTTGCTCGAAATGCCAGTTACTGCTTTGTCTGGTCCACACTCAAGTATTTTCAGGCCGCTGTGATATGGCTTATAATATTGTTGAGTAAAGCGTTTCATGATTAAGCTCCTACATGAAACACAAACTGTGTACATGATTCTATGTATGTAAAGGTATACCAGATGTTCCATTTTAATAACACCGTTGGTCTAAACTGACTCTTCATTTATTAATCGAGGAAGGGCTGGGTAGCCCAGTAGTTGTAGCATTCTGTGTTCACGTCGAAGCTTCAATTCCAAACATGGGTGTTATATGTGAAGTTGATTTCAGCTGTCCCGCCCTTGATATTCCTGTGAAACTAATTATCGCGAAGTTAAACCCAACTCAGTAAGTCAGTCAGTCTCCCTGTATCATGTGACACTGTACCATTGCATACTTACGAAATTCAGCAAGCTCCCCACTTTCGTCTGGAAGAAAGAATTATTTTACAGTTAATAAACTAACAATTAATTGATCAATGCGTATAAAGAGACCTTGAATAAGTGTTACAGATATATAAAAGCTCACATTTAATACACTTGACAACATGTACATAGATAACTGTTAAACTATCGGTAGGGATTCCAGGATTACTTTTTTTATCAAAAAGGTGTGGCTTGCGTCTGTCCGAGTTCTGGCGGATACCACCTGATACTCACCGGAAAGGCATCCGGTGATATTAGCAACGAAATCACTACTTTTGGTGCTGTGATATGGCTACTGAATGTAAATTATGATTAAGCTCCTACTTGAAACACCATAAGATTCGCAAAAAGTAAATATCTCATTTCACAATAACAAATCCCTAGAAAAACTAGGTGTTAAATATTTATTGTACTTTATTGTATCAAAACATATTTTTGTTATTTTCTTTTTACAAAATTCAAAACCTACCTGAATACTTCATCTTTTCCCTACAAAATAAAAAGGAAAACATGATGAATATGAGTTGAAAATATAGTTTATGTTAATTCGGCGTTGATGGAACTGATATGCAAGAAGGTCCAAAATCACATGTACATGGCCTAAATACTAGTACGTCTCAATGGTATTCCCTTTCTGTCAACGTTAGCTGTACACTATCTTTTACACTTAATCGTATCTGCCAAACCAAGAAATCTATTCAGAGTAAACCTTGTGTAAGCGACCTATGTTTCTGTGGCGAGAAGCAACTCCAATGGAAGCTCGAAGTACTTACTTCCGTGTCAGTATATCCTGCGCCAGATGATCCCCACACTGGCCAGATCTTCCCCTACCCCGTGTAAACTTACCTTGGAAGGTTCTGCCTAGGCCAGGTGCTCCACCTCTTGATTTCAGATATGCTGGAACGTATGAGGTTACCTTTTCGCGAACACCTGGTACCATCACTATTTGATATTGATTCATAAACACATGCTCATGATATAGTCGAAATCGTACAATCGACTCTGCTTTATGCAGACATTTCTATTCGATATGGAAAGGGATTTTATCAAAAAAGAAGCGACATATTAATGTAATGACAGAAAACTAAATTATTTTGTCAGGTAGACAGGTTTTAGCTACAGTCAGATCCTTCCCTAATATAGTATATTACCTAGGCGAAATCTTCCCAATAATAATGTTGTATATACCTGGGGACCCCTGCAGAATTTGAATCAATTGATTGAATATCAAGATGTCAGATTTCATATAACACACACGGTGACATAACAATGGCCTGTGAATTTTAGTCAATGAAATAGTATAGCATGAGAATTCCTCCGTAACAACCGTATTTAACACTTCAGATACTTATTTCTTAACCGCCGCCATACAGCTGGAATATTGCTGAGTGCGACGTTAAACAAGAAACCAAACTAGACCAAACCAACCAAAAACTTATTTCTTAAAGCATATTTCAATGGAATTGTCATGTGTTTGAAGGAAACAGTTTTCATGACAACAGTTGAATCTTCCGTCTTTCTATTTCGACTAGTCTGTCTTACAGACCCTGATACAAATATATATCAAATACAGCCCATGCAAGTCTATAATGTTTGGCAAGTCTAGATCACTTCAGTATCAGGGTCTCTGAAAATGAAGAGAGTCACTGGGCTCCTTTTTATTATATTTTTATTAAGATAACTGAACAACTGTTTTTTTATGTACGATATGTTCATTTCAGAGACTAGATTTTAGTCTATATTTCGACAAATAACGACATTTAGTCAGATTCAAGGAGAAGATTTAGAATAAAGCTGGTATTGTTGATTTACATATGATTTGTTGAGAATCCCATTATTTCATTACCTAAAGGGAGGGATTAACTAGCGTAATTATATCTTCGTTCGTTATAAACATATATATTTAGTAAACTCCATCCTACTTAAGTGACATCATATTCCCACTTTCATGTCAAGTAAATCATTTGTGAATACTAAAGAGAAATGAATACACAAAAGAGTGATATCACTTCAGCAAAGAAGCTTGACATTTGTCAGTCATCAATTAACATCAACATCCTAATATTTCATAATATAATTATATAAATATAAACCTTTCAATATTGTGGAAAAATATCTAACATATTTAAAGACGAATATAAAGTTTCCAAAAATATAAAGTTTTATTGAAGAAAAGAGACTTGGCCTCGAAAAACTCTTTTCTAATGCCGACACATGTTTGTAGACTTGGGAACGTATGACCACAGTGAAGAAGAACTGACCCAGGGTGAGATTCCCCACCTCTGTTTTGTAGAGAAAGTCTGGCCAGGGGTGGGGAAGAACTGGACAGCCATTATTTCCCCGGGGAAGAACTGGCCAGGGGGATGTTTCAGCCTGTTACATGTACACCAGTTATTTAATACGAACCAAAAGAGAGTGTAAACTGCCAACAACTGATACACAAGCAAACATACTCACTTAAGCTGGCGTTCGCTTTCGTCATCTGATACAGATTGAAACCGTTCTTCCTTTTTGTACTCTGGTGGCAACATCCCCTGTGCTTGAGCTTTTTCACTTTTTGATGTCGACGGCACGCTCACGTCTTGCTCAATATGCTTTAACTCGGTATCTGGTTTGTCGGTATCTGTCGACACTTTCAAAGTACAGGAGGGAGCATTTGGGTTAATGCCGTCAATAAAGGTCTGAAACATTTTTCTCACTGTTTCTTCTTCTTTGATCATTCTGTCTCTGCCTTCTTCCGTTTCATGTCGAAATTCTATGACGAGACATTTCTTGTAAACTTTGTACACCTTACAGCCATAACGTTCCTCCAACTTTTCAATCAGGTCAAAGAATTCATCACTCTTTTCCTCATTGATAATGACTACCATGAATCCGTCGGGAATATTTCCAAAGGTCCATCTTGATCCGAATGTGTTTTCGGTATCGACTTTTCGGGAATATAACCATTGTTCCAATTTTCCGTTGATACATTCAACTGTTGACAAAAACATGTGAAGGGCTTTTTTACTCTATATCTGTATTTTATGATAAAAAAATCGTATTTAAAGGGTAATATCAACATCTACTTATAATTTGATCAGATGTTAAACAGATTATGACCCCTGTGTGTTTCCGTATATAATAATATACTCTTAAAAAAAGAAGGAAACCCAAAACGGATATTTGTGGCCACAAAAGTAAAATAGCGACCCAAGAGGTGCAAAATGAAGTGGTTTAATGTGTTATAGTGTCAGTGACAAAAATTTCCCGAATCAAAATGATCACAAGAAGGACATGCAAACCATCAGTCGGGAAACTCGTACGATTCGGAACAACGCACCCAGTGCATTCACAAAAAGGCCACTGAGCTGCACGCACTGCACGTCTGGCATCTGCGTCAATCGAACAGTGACAGTTCAACAGCATGCGAAGATTAACAGAAGTGAAAAGAAACAACGTCATAGGTCGCTTGCAGGCAGGGGAATCCCGATCAGCTGTAGCCAGCACCATCACAAGGCTATGGGATCGGTTTCAACAACATTGGTCAACACTTGATCGGCCAAGGTTGGGACGACCAAGATTACCCACCCCCACCCCAGATCGCTACATCCGACTGCGCCACCTACGTGAAAGGAAGAATCTCGACCAGACCGTACCAGACCGTTTAAGAGCAGCAGGTCTACGAGCAAGACGTCCTGTTAGATGCGTCATATTGAGTCCACAACATCGTCAACAACGACGGCATTGGTGTTGTCAACACAGGGTGTGGCCTTAACTGAGATGGAGAGATGTCTGGTTCAGCGGCGAATCAAGATTTCTCCTCCGTCCAGGGGATGATATCCAAAAAGATTTGCCAAATGTAATTTTATTATTATTATTATTATTATTATAATTATTATTATAATTATTATTATTATTATTTATTAAGCATTGAAATTGTATGAAGGACTTAAGTAGTTAAATTACTCTTATAATGTATGCCGAAATATTCGAGTTCCGGGATGAAGCTGAGTAAAACATTCATCTAACCGTTAAAATGATAATAGATTGCCTCAGGTATAGGAAACAAAACACTCATGCTGAAGACGCAACGGATAATACTTGTTACTCAATACTTCAGAACGTTTCAAAGAAAGAAACAGTTATTTAAGGCGCCGTTTCTCGCCTGATTATGATCTCAAGTTTGTCAGCACAATATCCGACCAATGCCACTTTATAACACTCACATTTAACATGCAACCCCTGAGAGATTTGAAATACTGTTCAAAGGGGACGTAAGGGACGTACAATCCCAACACCAATCACAGTGAAGACTCCAGCTCATTGTATACTCACAAGGAAAACAATTTATTGTGAGGTTACAGAAATGACGATTAGAGTAACAACGAGTGAATAGAACAGGTATGTGCAACTGCCTGTCTCTTGGACATCAGATAGTAGTCTGGTGGCACCACCCTGGGACCTTGCAATGTCTGTTTACATCTGGCCTTTTCGTATTGTTCGATATCATTCGGTTTCAAGGTGAAATTTTGGCTGGATGGCCACTGACGACCCGCTTGGCTTTTAAGGACCATCTGCATTTCCTCATAACTTCTGTTCTAAGAACAATGGAATCGTGATTTTGACATCTTTATGTTTTCGGGGGTGAGGTGAGTTGAGGTACACGATTTGTGTACTTATACAGCGACGTGCATGCGACGATTTTATAGTGTTAGCCCACTAAGATACCATGCTGCAGTTTAACATGAATACCCTGAGCGTGGTATAAAAGAAACACTGTTTTAATGTGGTATGAATGTTACATACAAGATCACTTTTGTGACGTCATATGAATTTGTTATAAAGATACTCTGTTGTAATGTGATATAAATGTGGTATACAGAAAACACTGCTGTAATGTGGTATGAGCGTGGTATTAAAGGAACACTGTTTTAATGTGGTATGAATATTGCAGACAAGATCACTTTTGTAACATCATATGAATTTCTTATAAAGATACTCTGTTGTTATGTGGTATGAGCGTGGTATAAAAGAAACACTGTTTTAATGTGGTATGAATATTGCCTTCAAGAGCATTGGTGTCATGTGATATGTGGTGTAAAGATTTACTGTAGTTATGTTATATGAATGTGGTATAAAGTATCACTCTTGTAATGGAATATGAATATGACATACAAGAAACACTGATGTTATCTAATAATAGCCTGCGTGTTAGGCTAGCAAAATGAATCCCGTTTTCTAACTAAATATGTGACATCGGTAATGTGAATTATTAAAGACTTTCGATTGGTGTAGAAGCGAAATCAACTCACCGTGAATCACTGTTCCACCATCTTCTGCTGGAACTGAAATACATTATTGAGAATGTTACGTAATATATAGATAATGATGTCAGTAGCTTGTCATATCAGTAACGAAACTGTTTCAGCTTTGTCTCAACTGTCTAAATCAAGTTTGTGGTTATATTTACCTGATATCTTAACTCTCGGCTTTGCACCTTCTGCTGTGACGTTACACGTGACTCCTTCCTGCTGTTTCTCTGCAACATTGTTATATGCTCTATCAAATTAAGGCACAAACTATGTTTTTAATCTTAGCCAAGCATCAACACTATGACTGGCCTTTGGTTTCAGTTTTGGTTGCCTTACAAACTTCTTACTGTAAAATATTTACACATTGACGTTGTTTGACTATTAACAAGTGGGAATATCTAATAAAAAAAGGATATTAGGCAGGGTATTGGATGCCTTAAAGACGGTAAAGTCAAGCAAGCATTTGGCATGAGGCTATCATAGACATGAATGACACAGGATAATGGGTATACATTCTCTAATCCCCAAATGACGAATAAATTGCAAATCCATGCCATGCCCAATCATGCGATATATAAATACATATTTATATATAACAAAGGGTGCCTCTTTCGGTTTGGTATGAATTGTTTAATGATGGATCTAGCCAACACCAATCCTTTAATATCCCTTTTCAATGCGATTTGGTGTCATCGCATTTAGAGGCATTATTTTGTAGGAATGCACAGTGCTTTACCGTTTGTAATTACTGTTTTGTTTAACACTCCTATTACGGTGCTGTCTCTGATTGTGCTGTTCTCCGATCCTTTGACTGTGTAGGAATCTGTAATTAAACAAATCGTTTCATTAGGTCAGACCAATGCTTGTTTTACAGATCAGCATTCCCTTCTTTAACCCCCAAGAATTTAGTCAGTAATTGAAAATTTTAAAAATTGACCGCCCTCCACCACCACCCGCACCCCAAGCTTGAACAACTAGCAATTGATTTGGTCTGGCTTTATAACTTTATATCTTTGTAATACTGGTTTCATTAAATAAAAATACATAATGTAGACTGATACTATACGATTTCAAATTTCGTAAATCCGTGCAAGTAGCCAAAGTATTGTAAATCCCCACGGTTCCGAGTATGGTGGTCTACCTTTAGTTGCTGGCGATCCCTAGACCCGTTTTTATGATGTATTGTTATTTATCGTGATATCTTTTTATGGTTCCATACTAGTTTTAAAATATACATCTGTGATAATCAAGTTATTTTACTGTCCTTTGACGACTGGTTTTATAATCGAATTGTCTGTATTCTTACTGTCTAACATGATTTAGTCACGATATGGCTGAAATATTGCCGATGTGACTATAAAGATTCACTCACTCACTCACTCACTCAAATTTCGAAACTCAGGATAGAGACATACTTTGATAATTGTGTTTTATAGAGATGACGGAATGAATAAATACTCATACTCTTATCTGCTGTGCAGCGTGTAGGGCATTTCCCATATGGTGTCTCTGTGTCAGGGATTCGATGCTCATCCAACGTCTCTGTGTCACGCACAGGCGAATGGAGCGGGTCCGGGGAGACCTTACCGTCCTTATCATCCGTCAAGGTGCCCATCCTTTTCTCCATATGTGCGCAAGTTTTTCTAAACATAAAAAGGTAAGTGAAGCAGTATGGTTTTAACAATATTCCAGCAATATCACGGCGGTGGACACCAGAAATGAGCTTCACGCATTGTACCCATGTCGGGAATCAAATCGGTCCTTCAGCGTGCCGTGCAAACACTTTATCCACTAGACTACCCTACCGCCCTATATGGTGCTAAGCCCCACGGATAGCCGCCCGTGTTAGTTTAACTTCTGACGGAATAAAGAATTTTGGGAAAGACATATCCTGCAAAATGGCAATGTATTCCCTTGCGGCCCTTCATCAGCATATTTTATAGTTCCTAAAAGTAAACATGAAAAGATTAAAAAATGGAAATTAAGTGAAAAAGAATCCAATAAAAAACATATTCAAAGAAAAACAGGTGAACAATGAGATAGAAGGATCACAGTCACTTGGACCTTTAGTATAATCAGCTGTATTTAGAAAATACATGTAGTAACCGTATAGCATCATCCTTTTGTGAAGTGATATTTCCACTTCTTTTAAAAATTGGATAAGTCACCTGTGAATCTTCGTTTGTAGTGTCGCCAGATTCACTTCCTCTTCAAGTCAACCCTGCATGGAATACGAAAACACTATATTCATTTAAATGTTCTTTCAGATTGAAGAAACGACGCAGTGAAATCAATGACAATCTTTCTTTTATCATGCTCGTACTTGTCTGGACGAATGCCAGTTTTATAGTGCTTGCCCACTGAGATACTATGCCACAGTTTAACATAGATACCACACTCAGACACAGTATACTGACTCCGAGCCGACCAGTCCTTGTTTTATCTCCTTAATACCGAGCGTCAGGTAGGGTAACAACAAGTAACATCTATTAACATCTGTAAGTATGACGCAGTCGGGGATCACCGACCTTCCGCTCTCCGGGCGGACACTCTGTCCATTAGACGACGTAGGCGATCACCGATTATTATAAAAAAATTATCAATGAACTTGATTGTTTACCTAAATGTTACAATTTTGAACTCAGTTGTGTGATATCAATACTGTGTTGATCTACCAACCATAGTATTAAATAGAATAACAACATATCTTCATTGGCCGAAATGCACTTCCAAACATTCGTATCCCCACTACAGTTTATATGCTAATAAAGCAAACATAGTTTACAATGGCAAATGTAGACACAATTTTATTTTGTGCAAACTCGAAAGCACATACAGGAAGAAAATGATCATGAGATCAAGTCAGGTAGTCAGAATCTACAGTCATCAAATTACCGCAAACACCGGTTAGGGGAATCCCCTAGTTTCAATTTCCATAACCTCATGTTACCCAACGAGAAGAATATAGAGCATCAAAAAGCACACCGAGTTGTGTACGTTTGAGCAAATAGTCTTCAGACATCCATATCTAAATACACATGATAACAATCATATCAAGGTATAAATCATTCTAATATCCAGGTACAAACAGGCAATGGTAATCTGTATACACGGAAGTGAGTGACTTAAGTGGGTCACCCACTAAATATGTGAACAGCATAGAATGTTATCATATTACAGTAAATCACGGCTATATACACGGTGTTCATAGCAGCTTTCATCGCGTCTTCGTGTCAAATAGATCAGATCTTAAAATGTCTTTAAATAATTAACTTGATCCGTATTTTTGTCGTTAAATCCAGACACCGTATTTACATATTTGGTCTCTGTGAAATCGTTTTGTACTATTATACTGCGTTGTAGCGTATCGTTAAATCTCATGAGCAAGCAGTTACTATTACCGTATATTAGCCTCCGATTATGCAAGTGCTAACTGACTTCAGCTGCAAACATAACATTGTCCCAGTCTTGAAGGTGTCTAATCTCAACCTCCCCAAGGCGTTATCCCGGTCACGTGGTACAACCGGTGTCTAAAGAGAAAATACCCCATTCAATATCCATAGTGCATTGGTTGGTGGGTCTCCGTCTCATACACAAATCTTCCTCAAGTGAATACCTTGTATAGCAAGGCATTACGATTGGACGTGTTTTGAGGACTATTATTTTTCAGTAACCTTGAATATTTACTTGGCACAAAAGTTATTATCTCCACCCTGTTTTAATAACATAAATTGGTCTTGAGGAAGTGAGTTTTTCTCATCTGTATGATTTGATCATTAATAAATATATTTTCTTAATATAAGCATGGATTATTGAGAAGTCTTTTAAGTGCGAACTGTGCCCCGGAACACAGTTATGCCAATCTCTTCAGTTTATCAAAATGCAACCTGACGAAAACATCCCGAAATCAAAGTATTTTGAACGAATTAAGGGGATGTTTACGGCTCATGGTCTATGCAGGGGTTTTACTTCTCTTTCCGGTTGGAAGATGTTTGAGCGTAATGATGACGATGTACATCAAATTCCCGTAGATATACGCGAAGACATGAAGGTAAAATTCCAACAAAACATTTTAAACCCTTGATAATATTCATGTGCATTCATTACTGATTTAATTATAATTGCATACGCACGCTCGCACATACATACATGCACACATACTAGTAAATGCACAAGTAGGGGGCACGGGTGGCCCAGTCGTCTTAGGCACCGCGATTCGCTGTGCAGAGTTGCGTCCCTTGGGCACGCCAGAAACCTATGCTTGTGGGTTCGAATCCCGGTTCACCCCAATTATGTTTCTAGGTTTGTCAGCCCAATACCCGTGCTCGTGGGTTTCACCGAAGTGGTAAACGTCTGAGACCACTTCGGGCTTTCCTCCCACATTAAGCTGACACGCCGTGATGTAACTGGAATACTGCGGCGTTAAACCCAATTCACTCACTCACATGCACAAGTAAAGATAAAATATATGGATATACTTCTTTATTACAATTGGAAGCGACGTTTTGGTGCAGGTTCTAACTTGCTTGATTACGGTGTTAGAACCTACACCGAAACGTTGCTCCTAATTATAATAAAGTAGTTGTTCATCCATATACTGTATATCATGGCATTAACGCGAGCGTGAATTAAATTAGAAAAATGCGAGTGGTCTTTGCTCGCATTATTTAACATCGCATTCATATCAACAATAAGACATTTAGTCCTAATTTGGGATAGCAGAAATATAAACTTAGTCATACGCTGAAAACAAACAACTATGTATCTATGTATTCCAGATATACATGTATCTTATATATATTTATTTATCATATTGTATCTTATCCTTACTCAGCACAGCTGTCGCAGTTGGGCATGCGGATTGCCACACTCATAAGGCGAGACTTACTTTATTTTTTGTTTAACAGATATCTTCCTGAAAACATCCGAGTATTATATTACAGATTTCTTTTCATTCTTCAAGGTGTTATTTGAATATGTTGCAGTATTTATGAAAATGGTCTCTACAGCCTTATAAATGTTGTTCAACAAATTGTATGCTCGGTGTGTTTCAGGTAAATACATAAGTTGGAAGTCGGGGGTATAAAATTTATTCTTCTTAGTCACTGTGTCTTTTTTCCACTTTTCTTTATTTAGGGTTCGATTGAACTATTCACATCAAAGCTGACGAAGTGTCTTTCAACCTGGAATAAATGCAGTGATTTTACTGGCGATTACGTTACATAGAGGGGGAAATTGGCAGGCTCGTGTGAAGTCTGGTTGGTGGGATAAGTCCTTCATTGTGTCAAGTAACGGAACAGTGAACATTACTATACTGGAGACTACAAACATATATTGATTATATGACCGAAATTGAATATTGACCACTTCCAATATGTCGAAACAACTCATCCATATATCCGTATTTGTTTTTCCCAATCATTTGTATGACTAATTAATCACTCATCGATCTACCAGGTCACTGGGGACTGTTGTCCGTTTCCAACTACTCGTCTCCATCAATGCATGGATTGAAATACGAGATGCTTGAGGTTTAGACATGGGGCACACGTACAGTTATGGAGTTATATAGGTTCTCTCTTGATTCTAATGGGCACAAAATCGCTCAAACGTTATTACGTCTTGTTATGGGTGATATAAATCTGCAATTAATGTTCCATAATACACTGCCGGGCATATGGAAGTATTCACCCATGTTTAATGGTGGCTAAGAATGAGTGAGTTGGGTTTAACGCCGCTTTTAACAGTATTACAGTTATATCACGGCGTGTCAGCTTAATGTGGGAGGAAAGCCCGAAGTGATGCAGGTTTCAGACGTTTACCACTTCGGTGAAACCCACGAGCACGGGTATGGTGCTGACAAACCTAGAAACATAATTGGGGTGAACCGGGATTCGAACCCACAATCATAGGTTTCTGGCGTGCCCAAGGGACGCGACTCTGCACAGCGAATCGCGGCGCCTTAGACGACTGGGCCACCCGTGCCCCCGGCTAAGAATGAAACAAACAAACAAATGGCTGTTCATTGGTGATGTATTTGATACGAGAATCATAGTTGTGTTTTGGACCTTAAGTTTCGGCGACTGTTGTCAGCACTTCAAACGTTTTGATAAAGTTTGCAAAACCAATTTTTGCAAAACCAAATCCAATTTTCATATAATGTAACCCATATCAGGACCCACAAATCTATCAATTAATACATACACCACTCCCGAACGACACACACCTCTATACACTAATATCATACACTCGTCCCTCACTACAGACGTCTCTATACATTAATTGCATACACCCACCCCTCGCGACACACACCTCTACACATTAATATCATACACCCACCCCTAACGACAGAAACATCTATACACTAATATCATACACCCACCCCTCACGACACACACCTCTTTACACTAATATCATACACCCACCCCTCACGACAGACCCCTCTATACACTAATAATATAACCCACCCCTCACGACACACACCTCTATATACTAATATCATACACCCACCCCTCACGACACACACCTCTATATACTAATATCATACACCCACCCCTCACGACACACACCTCTATATACTAATATCATACACCCACCCCTCATGACACACACCTCTATATACTAATATCATATACCCACCTCTATACACTAATATCATACACCCAACCCTCACGGCACACACCTCTATATACTGATATCATACACCCATCCCTCACGACACACCCCTCTTTACACTAATATCATACACCCACCCCTCACGACACACCCCTCTTTACACTAATATCATACACCCACCCCTCACGACACACCCCTCTTTACACTAATATCATACACTCGTCCCTCACTACTAATTGCATACACCCACCCCTCGCTACACACACCTCTTCACATTAATACCATACACCCACCCCTAACGACAGAAACATCTATATACTAATATCATAACCCACCCCTCACGACACACACCTCTTTACACTAATATCATACACCCACCCCTCACGACACACACCTCTATATACTAATATCAAATACCCACCCCTCACGACACACACCTCTATATACTAATATCATATACCCACCCCTCATGACACACACCTCTTTACACTAATATCATACACCCACCTCTATACACTGATATGACACACCCAGCCCTCACGACACACACCTCTATATACTAATATCATACGCCCACCCCTCACGACACACTCCTCTATACACTAATATCATACACCCATCCCTCACGACACCCCCTCTATACACTCATATCATACACCCACCCCTCTCGACACACCCCTCTTTACACTAATATTATACACCCACCCCTCACGACACACCCCTCTTTACACTAATATCATACACCCACCCCTCACGACACACCCCTCTTTACACTAATATCATACACTCGTCCCTCACTACTAATTGCATACACCCACCCCTCGCTACACACACCTCTTCACATTAATACCATACACCCACCCCTAACGACAGAAACATCTATATACTAATATCATAACCCACCCCTCACGACACACACCTCTTTACACTAATATCATACACCCACCCCTCACGACACACACCTCTATATACTAATATCAAATACCCACCCCTCACGACACACACCTCTATATACTAATATCATATACCCACCCCTCATGACACACACCTCTTTACACTAATATCATACACCCACCTCTATACACTGATATGACACACCCAGCCCCTCACGACACACACCTCTATATACTAATATCATATACCCACCCCTCATGACACACACCTCTTTACACTAATATCATACACCCACCTCTATACACTGATATGACACACCCAGCCCTCACGACACACACCTCTATATACTAATATCATACGCCCACCCCTCACGACACACTCCTCTATACACTAATATCATACACCCATCCCTCACGACACCCCCTCTATACACTCATATCATACACCCACCCCTCTCGACACACCCCTCTTTACACTAATATTATACACCCACCCCTCACGACAGACACCTCTATACACTAATATCATACACCCACCCCTCACGACACACACCTCTATACACTAATATCATACGCCTACCCTTCACGACACACCCCTCTATATACTAATACCATACACCCACCCCTCACGAAACACACCTCTATACACTAATATCATAAACCCACCCCTCACGACACACACCTCTTTACACTAATATCATACGTCCCACCCCTCACGACAAACACCTCTATACACTAAAATCATACACCCACCCCTCACCACACACGCCTCTATACACTAAAATCATACACCAACCCCTCACCACACACGCCTCTATACACTAAAATCATACACCCACCCCTCACCACACACGCCTCTATACACTAAAATTATACACCAACCCCTCACGACCCCACCCCTTACAACACAACATACACCTCTATATACTAACATCACACACCCGTCTCTCACGACAAACACCTCAATACACTCATATCATACACCCACCCCTCACAACACACACATCTATATACTAATTTCATACTTCCACCCCTCACGACACACACCTCTTTACACTGATATCATACACCCACCCCTCACGACACACACCTTACAACACACATACACCTCCATACACTAATATCACACACCCACCCCTCACAACCCCGACCTCTATACACTAATATCACACACCCGTCTCTCACGACACACACCTCTATACACTAATATCATACACCAACCCGTCACGACACACCCCTCTATACACTAATATCATACGCCCACCCCTCACGACACACCCATCTATACACTTATATCATACAGCCACCCCTTACGACACACACCTCTATACACTTATATCATACACCCACCCCTCACGACCCCCACCTCTATACACTTATATCACACACCCACCCCTCACGACCCCCACCTCTATACACACCCGTCTCTCACGACAAACACCTCAATACACTCATATCATACACCCACCCCTCACAACACACACATCTATATACTAATTTCATACTTCCACCCCTCACGACACACACCTCTTTACACTGATATCATACACCCACCCCTCACGACACACACCTTACAACACACAAACACCTCCATACACTAATATCACACACCCACCCCTCACAACCCCGACCTCTATACACTAATATCACACACCCGTCTCTCACGACACACACCTCTATACACTAATATCATACACCAACCCGTCACGACACACCCCTCTATACACTAATATCATACGCCCACCCCTCACGACACACCCATCTATACACTTATATCATACAGCCACCCCTTACGACACACACCTCTATACACTTATATCATACACCCACCCCTCATGACCCCCACCTCTATACACTTATATCACACACCCGTCCCTCACGACACACACCTCTATACACTAATATTATACACCAACCCGTCACAACGCACACCAACAAATATCATAAACTTTAACTTAGGGTGACTTGCACTTTTTCCTCTGTGCGACGTGATCGTGTATGGTTGCTGCGCATGCGTATTCGTGACTCAGCAGAATTTCATATCTCTGAAGCCCCATGGCGTCTTCGCTTGGCTACTCACGGATTATGATGTTAATCTAGCGTTGCTGTAATCCCGTCTATCTCTTCACTACCAAAACAGCCATGACTAAGCGTCTTTCTTTTAAAGATCAGATTCATACAATAAGGAGACTGATTTTAATACTTTCCCCCGACGATCCTGTTGGGTGGAAACATATGTCTTGTCAATGCATCAGTACAGCCCTTTCTATTATTTGGGCCATTCCAGTTAAGTCCTTATTACTATGGATACCTCTAAAGTCCACAGCTCGATAGTCCAGAATCGTCTATAATCCATACCTTTATACACTGAAGGTTTTTTTAGATCCACACCGTATTATTCTGGAACCCAATCTTCGAAAAGCTGTTATACAGTTACTCCGCTCTAAGCAAAGTCTAGTTGCCCTGTTCAGGAATACTTATTCAATACAGGCGTTTATTAGGAATACTTGTTTAATAATCCGTTTATTAGAAATACTTATTAATACACCCGTTCACTAGAAATATTTATTCAATTACACGGTTCATTAAGAATACTTATTTAATACATCCGTTCATTAAGAATACTTATTCAGTTAGCCCGTTCATTAGGAATACTTATTCAGTTACCCAGTCCATAAGAATACTTATTTAGTTACCTTCTTAACTAGGAATACTTATTTTGTTACCCCGTTCATTAGGAATACTTATTCAGTTACCCAGTCAATAAGAATACTTATTTGGTTACCTTCTTAACTAGGAATACTTATTTAGTTACCCCGTTCATTAGGAATACTTATTCAGTTACCCAGTCCATATGAATACTTATTTAGTTACCTCCTTAATCAGGAATACTTATCTAGCTACCTCCTTAATTAGGAATACTTATCTAGTTGCCTCCTTAATTAGAGATACTTATCTCGTTACTTCCTTAATTAGGAATACGTAATCTAGTTACCTCCTTAATTAGGAATACTTATCCAGTTGCCCCATCCATTAGGAATGCTTAGTCAATGCCCATGCTTATGAATTAAATCTGTTCTGTTCTGCCGCTCATTATGAATACTTATTCAATGATGGTCTCCTGCAACTTATGTTTATCATAAAATATACTGGTATGGGCAGGCTCGAAGACAATGCTGATTGCGTGTCATCGTGTTCCGATATCATGGCTCGATGCTCATGCTTTCAGTCACTGGTGTGCCTGGTTCAGACTCAATTACTCACAGGCTGTCGTGATATAACTGGAATATTGTTGACTGTGGTGTTAAACAACATTCATTCACTCTCACATTCGAGAATGTTAAATATCCATTATAAATCGACACCTAGGAATATTCCAGCATTATCACGGCGGGGGACACCAGAAATGGGCTTCACACATTGTACCCATATGGGGAATCGAACCCGGGTCACGGTATTAGGCGTGACGAGCTAACGCTTTAACCACCAGTTTACCCCACCGCCACGGAGGGGGTCAGAGTAGGTCTCAAGCCACCTGTAGTGGTCCTCAGGGGTGATATAACACGAATAATGTTCAAAGCGGAGTTAAACCCATCTCACTCACTCACTCACGTAAGAAGTGCCTCAGTGGATTGAGTGGTCACTGACTTGGTTGATTGCTTTTTATGTTGTTTAACGCCGCACTCAGCAATATTCCAGCTATATGAAGGCGGTCTGTAAATAATCGAGTCTGGACCAGACAAGCCAGTGATTGATATCATGAGCATCGATCCACGCAATTGGGATCGATGACATGCATCAACCAAGTCAGCGAGCCTGACCACCCGATCCCGTTAGTCGCCTCTTACGACAAGCATAGTCGCCTTTTACGGCAAGAATGGGTTGCTGAAGACCTATTCTACCCCGGAATCTTCACGGGTCTCCGAGGTAATGGGACGCTTTTCACAATGTCATTCATTTGATTGTACGACACAGTCCAGACTCGATTATTTACAGACCGCCGTCATATAGTTGGAACATTGCTAAATGCAGCGTTAAACAAACAAAGAAACAATCATAAATAGATGAATGGATATTTCCCTACAGATAATCAGCAGTAATTGGGTTACAGCCAACTGTGTTATTGGGTACACAGTCGTTCACCCAAATCACCAAGGGCATCAGTATTGATAACGTTCATCGAAGGTTATCTTTCAGTCACGGAACAAAGTGTCAATATCTTTGAAGTTAATCATGCGGTTAGCCCGATCCAAGCTCAAATTAATACTCCCTTCTCCCAGGAATGCTTTAATCACGGGTAAGTCAAGCTATGACCAAGAGCACAACGTTCCGGTGCTGGCGATGACATTTGTGCACTCGGAACTTAAGCGTCAACGTGAGAGATTTGTTAATTCACCAACAAAATGTTGATGCGCGGATGGTTTGACTCTACTGCACCACCGTTTCATGAAGCACGCTAGGCGTTAACACAGCGAAGGGCGACAACGCGTGAATGTAACCTTGTCCGTCTGACAGGGCACGAGTATATCAACACGGGCTCACTGACGCAACCTGATTTCGGATGACGACGTGACTGAAACCTCAGAAGGAATGCAGCTGTGAAGATATAAACGGGGTGGTATTTACAGTTCATGCTGATAGAACAAATGGGATACTCAATCGATGAGAGGAGCTGTGTTCTTGTGCTTGTGTCAACAGAAGATGTAGGCATTGATGTGCTGACCGGCTGATCGCCGGTAGCGGTATATAGATAATATCCACTACGCTGATAGCATTTCCTGATTGATCAAATGAACAGTTTTAATGTAATTAATAGAACAAATACGCTAGTGGAAAATCCGCATTGCCAAGGATACGGTGTATGCAGTGTTGTGCTTTCAAAGAGGATCTGTTTTGAGTAATTCCATTTTGTTAGGATATGTTATGGACAGCGTTGAGATTTCCTCTGGGATCTATTGTAAAGAAATTCCTCATTGCCAAGGATATGGTGTATGCGGTGTAAGATTTGCGGTGATCTGATCTAGTGTAGCATCCACATTGATAAGGGTACGTTGTGCGCAGTGCCTGGTTCCCTTGAGGATCTGTCCCATTGGTGAGAAACGTTGATAGAAACAGAGACACTTGAAGTGTGTTTATTTAAGGTGACTGTCGATAACGTTGACGAACCACAGGGGGTGTTCAGTCATGATTTACAACACACGGAGGACTGACATTAAAATGATCATCAAGAAGACATGGAAGTCTTCCCAGAACGCGTATTGAGATGTGTTGACTGTGGAACTGCAGTGTCTTGACCTCGTGTATGGCGTATGAAGATATCTGTTATAAGTAACTATCTAAAGAGTAAGGTGTGAGGCAAGGTTGTCGTATACATACACCACTCTTGACCTCGTTTATGGTCCCATAAGCATTTGCTGTGTAAACACACAACTCATTTGTGGTTTAATATATATTGGCTGTATACATATATTCTGATCTCTTGTGTGATATAATACACGCTGGTACCATGGCAAACCAAAGTCCAAACAAGTCTTCATCCGTATCCCCGGACCAGATGGAATGTGGACAGTCGGACTGTGACGGGAGGGAAAGTAACTCTAGCAGCAAAGTGCTACTGCAGATCATAGTGTCAGCAATTTGTGGATTTTTGTTTGGTGTCGCACTTGAGAAAGCTCGGGGTAAGATAGAATTTATTGACTGTCTGATTTGTAAATGTCAAATCATAGCATGTACTATGCAGGATAGTAAATGGATGTATTGGGAAAATATACTACTTAAAAGAAGTTAAAGAACACCCGATTCTTTCATATTACTAATGTTACTCGGTCATGTCATGACAGATTAGTCACAGTAATATGAAAAATCGTAAAAGAACATGTTACTATAGTTAATCTGTCATGTATTGACAGCTGATGTAGAACGCTATTATTATGTGTTTTGATAAAATGGAAATCACCCCTGATTACAAATGGGTTATTTTTTGTTGTAAAATCAACCATTCACATGTATTTTGCTACCTTACCCAAATCACCGTCTTAGGTAAAGAGTCAAAACATAATATGTGCCGAGTGTTCGCAGTTGTGACCACATGAATTAGTATCTAATATCCGTTAAACCCAATCATTGATATGTCTTGGCATTTTTTTGTATTGACATCTTTCATGAGACACGTGATGATCCGGGGACGAATAGGTTTTCAGCAACTCATGCTTGCCGTAAGAGGCGACTATGCTTGTCGTAAAAGGCGACTAACGGGATCGGGTGGTCAGGCCGGCCGACTTGGTTGATACATGTCATCGTATCCCAATTGCATGGATCGATGCTCGTGATATCAGTCACTGGATTGTCTGGTCCAGACTCGATGTTTTACAGACTGCCTTCATATAGCTTGAATACTGCTGAGTGTGCCGTTAAACAACAAACAAACAAAACTTCCTTCATGAATAAATGCGGGGCGGTGGGGTTGCCTAGTGGTTAAAGCGTTTGCTTGTCACGCCAAAGAGTCGAGTTCGATTCCCGCATGGGTACAATGTGTGAGTCCCTCGCCATAATATTGCTGGACTATTACTAAAAATGCGCAAAACCAGACTCACCCACCCATGAGTGCAATAACCAACCAACCAACCAACCAATACCTGTTGTAAGATGTGGTTGTTAAAGTATAAAGTTGAGATGATGGTAAATAGATAAACCGTATAACCATCAGATATACGATGGGGTTATTTTAAAATCTGTTATGAGACAGGACTGTCTTAACCATCTACTATGAGATGATGTTTCATTGACATCTGGCTTGAATTCATGTTGTCTCTATAGAAATAGGGGCGGTCGGGTAGCCTAGTGGTTATAGCGTTCGCTCGTCACGCCGAAGACCCGGGTTCGATTCTCGACATGGGTACAATGTGTGAAGCCCATTTCTGGTGTCTCCCGCCGTGATATTGCTGGAATATTGCTAAAAGCGGCGTAAAAACATACTCACTCACTCACTCTACAGAAATGGTCATTCGATGGTGATCGGGTATCATAGGTTGTTTCGGACTTTTGCAGTTTGCAGTGCTTCGGTGACTGTTTTCAGCCTAGTTACGTTTTTATGACGTTTGTAAATTTTCGGTCAAACCAATTTCCAAGTGTATACTTTCTTTTGCCCGGCAGTTTTTATGCCCTACTTTCAACTATACAGTAATAGATATATCTATGCTAAGTATATGGTAAGATCAAATGTTATTAAATTAAAAAAGCCTCGTGAAAACTTGTAATTTATTTGAAAGTTGTATCGGTTTTACAGCTATTATTTTGAAACCCAAACCTAATATTATTGGTTAACAGCAGCAGAATATGTAGACTCAAAGCTACACACCACCTCCTGTTTATGCTATTCTCAATTTAAATTTGCATTTATGTTACGCGTCGTATATGATTGAAGACTTAAAGACTATTTACTATGTCTCCCGACCGCCTGTGGTGGTAGAGCGTCCGCCCGGAGAGCGGAAGGTCCGGGGTTCGATCCCCAGCCGCGTCATACCAAAAGACGTTAAAAGATGGTACTTGTTGTTACCCTGTCTGGCGCTAAAACAAGGACAGGTCGGCTCGGAGTCAGTATACTGTGTCTGAGTGGGGTATTCATGTTAAACTGCGGCATGGTATCTCAGTGTGCTAGCACTATAAATCGGCATCAGTCCGGACTAGTACAAGCAGCCACACATACACATACACGTGCATGCACGTCGCTATATAAGTGCAATAATCTTGGACGCGACGTTAAAACCCATTTCACCTCACCACTGTGTCTCCCACGTCGGCAAACTTCAGAACATGTAATCATAGATGACGAGTTGAGAAGAGTAGATGGACACAGGTCTCGCGTCATGACAGACTGTGTGTATTGTGCAACAGAAACCACTTGGGTGATGACTATCATCATTTACAAATATACCCTGATTTCAACTACACAGACCTAGATATATCCACGTACATTGTAATGCCTCTTGAACACTAGTAATTTAACAGCATTACAAATGTTATATAGGTTTTATTGAAATTATTTTCAAATCAATGAACTCATATTATTGTTTAACAACAGCTGATGTTGATTTTGTACTCTTTGGAACACACCTCCACCTGTCAGTGCCGTTCTTAATTAAAATTAATATTTATTCTTCGCTCAATAACGTTTCGATAACGTATGTACTTTTGTGGTCAATTCCAATCTTCAGGTTTATACTTTTCTTTGCCCCACAGTATATATGCCCAACTACTTTCAACTATACAGAAATAGATATATCTATATCAAGTAAGACTAAATGTTATGATTTTTGTTTGTTGTTTAACGCCGCACTCAACAATATTCCAACTATAAGACGGCGGTCTTTAAATAATTGAGTCTTGACCAGACGATCCAGTGATTGATATCATGAGCATCAATCGAAGCAAGTGGGGTCGATGACATGCATCAACCAAGTCAGCGAGCCTGACCACCCGATCCCGTTAGTCGCCTCTTACGACAAGCATAGTCGCCTGTTACTGCAAGCATGGCTGCTGAAGACCTATTCTACCCCGGATCTTCACGGGTACCAAATGTTATGAAGTTAAATAGCCCGCTGAACACAAGTAATACATTACAATTACAAATGTTATATCCGATTTGTTGCTATTGTTTTGAAAATCGTGAATTAATATTATTGTTAAACAACATTACTGACACTTCTGGACACCCTCTTCCCCCACCCCACTATCAGTGCTATCCTCAAATTAAATTGATATTCATGTTACGCTTCACATATTTCATAGGGGGCACGGGTGGCCCAGTCGTCTAAGGCGCGATTCGCAGTGCAGAGTTGCGTCCCTTTGGCACGCCAGAAATTGTGGGTTCGAATCCCGGCTCGACCCGATTATGTTTAAAGGTTTGTCAACACCATACCCGTGCTTGTGGTTTTCCCCGAAGTGGTAAACGTCTGAGATCTACATCACTTCGGGCTTTCCTCCCACATTAAGCTAACACGCCGCGATATAACTGGAATACTGTTAAAAGCGGCTTTCAACCTAACTCACTCACTCACTCACATATTTCATATTTAATGAGCTGACGCTGTGATAAGATGAATTTGTGTTGACGTTTAAAACTGTGATAAACTGTTATTGCTCAAACCACTGACTATGCCTTGCTCTTAACCTCAGTCGATAAATCGGTGCTACTCATAACTGACTCTGATAAGTACTAAATATGTACGGTTGTTTCATATCTCTGACCTACTACACTTGTCGCGTCTCATGCGCTACATTCCTCATAGCGAGAGAGTCACGTCTCTAGTGAAGGACACTCCCGCCTATGTTGACCTAAATTTGACCTAACGTGTGTGCTGTTGAGGCTCACACAACCTTAAACGAGGAGCTTGTACTTGTGAGTGCATCTCCTAACACAACAAATGTTTCCATTCATTCAGCCATTCGTTCATTCATTCGTTTTTGTCGTTCGTCTAATGAATGATGATGATTTTAACATCAACATTAGACGAGCTAATAGCAGCTACGATAGACTCGGTGGTTCGTCTTTTGTTTGTTTGTTGTTTAACGCCGCACGCAGCAATATTCAAGGGATATAACGGTGGCCTGTAAATAATCGAGTCTGAACCAGATTCCAGTGATTGATATTATGAGCAACGGTCCACGACACTCAAGTCACCGAGCCTGGCCATTTAATCCCCTCTGACGATCAGCGTAGGTTGCCTGGATCCCCGCGGGGCAATTTGTATTGATGTAGACGTCGAATACAGTAATTGTCCGGAAACATCAGAGTCCAGACTAACGAGGTTCCACTGTTCCACGATTGTCTCATTTTTCTCTTAAAGGACCGGTCCTACTAGTCCTGTACCCTAACTGTGGAATATATTTATTTTATGAAAAAACAACAATCTAGATATGTATACAAAAGCAAGCCTAGCCAGCTCTATCTAGCTCTATTCCACACTATGTAATCAGCATCGGGGAAATTATTTGTAAAATTGTAGAGTTGAGAAGGGCATTATGTAATATAAGATTTCATAGACTAAATGTTAGACTTAATGTTAGTCTACGGCACTACGTTTTATGTAAGCACCGTTAACTATCACATATGTCCGATCATAGTTAGTACCCTAAGCCGCAAGACTGTCTAATTTACCCCGTGATACGAGGACGTATCGAATTCCTCTTCAAGGTGGTCGACACTGTGAAGATCCTGGTCTTCAGCAACCCATGCTTGTCGCAAGAGGCGACTAACGGGATCGGGTGGTCAGGCTCGCTGACTTGGTTGATGCATGTCATCGTATCCCGTTTACGTAGATCGATGCTCATGATGTCAATCACTGGATTGCCTGGCCCAGACTCGATTATTTACAGTCCGCTGCCATGTAGCTGGAATATTGCGGAGTGCGGCGTTAAACAACAAACAAACAAAACAAAACAAACAACTGAAGCTGGTCATGGTGCGTGCGCAGGGTATGAACATGTAGCATTATACTGCCCATGGAACCCTTCGCCTGTCGAAACGAGTTAGTTTAACTCGGAAGGTTGATAAGAACGTTCCTCTCTGGTTAACCTGCCAATTAGTTTATATTTATGAGATTCCCAGTGGAAATTAGACGTGTCACCTGATGAACGCGTCAAGTAATCGTTGTCTCATACCCAGAATTCCCGAGGACAA